TGCATTCTCGTATTGCCTTTTTCGATTGCTAATGATGTCGCCCCGATGTCTCAGCAAAAACGTCGCTGGAACTTTACGAGAATTCACTCGATATTAGTTTTAATGTGCCGTCACTATTGCCACTTTGCTTCCTTTTAGCGCCAATAGACTTTTTCTGAGTTTTACATACGAAGTAGCACATACAGGGCGTCAATTTGAAAAGCCTGAATACACGCAAGTTTAATTGTTTCGACACGAGTGGGTAACACTGTGATGAGTTGCGCTATTGAGTTAACGAGTTATAACTCATCGGTTAGTGAGTTATAAGTCATTTATTAAAGCTTTACGAGGCCCGAGACTGGAATTTTCACATCTAAAAAAAGGGTTATTGACATTTTTTCTGAGTAACGTTTTACTACCTTCAAGCAACTAAAAAAAGTCATCTAGATTTTCCCAGCAATAGAACTGAATCCAAAGAAAGTCGACGAGTTTTCTTGTAAAATCGATCTCTTCATTTTTTTGCATAAAAGATTCCATTTGCCAGTATTTTACAGTAAAACGGTAGGAAAAACCCGGTTTTTCTGTTTAGAGACAKTGTTGTTTAGAAATATTGACCTAAAAGTGAAGAAACSCCAGTTTCYARGAGTTTTCCCAATAAATGATTATAAACTTTYGCTTTTKYAKTTCRGCGAAATATTTTTGGAAAAAYACCYAGAAATAATTATTASGGTTTTGYCYMTAATTCRAAGCTKYAAAAAGTKTTCCAAAMATTTTTGCAAAGCRATTAAGGAGGCGAATGTTCCAATAAAATTTATCTTACAGTTTTCCCCAGAAAATACCTGGAGATTGTCAGTATTTTAAGTAAAACTGAAAATTAATTTTTGGGTAGAAAGAATTGCTTAATAGAAACTTTTTTAAAGCTGGAATGACCTGAAAATTTAACGGAACTTTAGAAATATTCAGAGCGATGAGGGCGGCGAATTTTCAAAATATTTTTTTGTAAACCTTTGCTCTTTCGGTGAAAAACTGAATAAAGTTATTTGATTTTTGTGGCACATTCGAAGCTGAAATGGGTTTTTTAAAGTTCCCTGCAAACCAATCAATGCGGCGAATTTTGTAATTTTTGGCTGAAAACACCCCATTATTGTCAGAAAAGAACAAAATCATCAAAAAATTATTGTTGTTTGCGTTTTCGATTAGAAACTTTTAGTTTCGTGATCGGTTTTGGCGAAAACCTTACTGGTTTCCGGGCAAAACGGGAGGAACTTATTTTCGTTTTTGTCGCGAATTGGACGCTGAAAAAAGTTTTCGTAAAATGTTTACAAAGCTCTAAATTTATCTTGTAATTTTTCGCGTAACAAACCTTCAGATCGGCAGTATTTTTAAGTGAAACTCTGCAAACTAGAGCGCTTTTGAATAAAAGGTAAAGCAAAAAAATCCAGTCAAAGCTAAAAAAACACATTAAAAAAAACTCTACAATCTTCAGAGCAATGGAAGCTAAAATAATCTGTTACAAACTTTCGCTTATTCTGTTCGTTTTGATAGAAAATCATCATCGACGCTGGAAAAGGATTTCAAAAGCGACCAAGGATTCGAAATTTATTTCATAATTTTTCGCGGAAACTGCCATAAGATTGTCAGCATTTTTAAGTGAAACTTTAGAAAATTGAGCATTTAGGAGAAAGAGTAACTGGGCTAAAACTGGAAAATTCTGAAATTTGAAGGTATTTTAAAAATATTGTTAATAAATTGCCTTTAAAACAAATATAAAAAGTTTTAAAAAGTCATCAACATTTTACCAGCAACGGAACTGCACCAAGCCATTTGCGCCAACTCCTAAAAATTCACTGAGTTTCCCAGGTCTAGGTTAGGTCATCGGGCGATGACCGTAAACGTCAGAAACTTTTGAAATCACGATTTTTTGCCGAAAACTCCACTTAGAGTCGTGAAAATACTAACAAACTGTAGAGTGAAAATTTCCGTTGCAGAAAATCACCAACTTTTCCCGGAAAATCGGTAAAATCCGACAAATTTCCAAATTTTGGTGGAGCGATGACACGCACTATTTCCTTTGCTGCGGTGAACAAGTGACTGTTTTGATGACATTTTAAGGTTAAAATCACCTCAGAAAATAGAAAACGCCCTTTTACAGACAATTTGAAGATGTTTTCTGGGGAAAACGCCTGCTAAAGTATACAAAGCGATACGATAGCAAGGACCCTTTAATCTATCACTGATTATTAGACATGTTTCCTGCACCTATGCAGGCAACGTGATAGACACGTATAGGAAAGGAGTTTCCAACAGTTTCTTTAAAACAGCGGGCCCTACCGGGGCTCAACAGTAACAAACTGGCCAACATATACATGAATACAGCCAACCAAGGGCCTTTAAGTACTCAACTCAACAAAATTTCTGCTCAAAAGGCGCTCTCCAGTGCATCTTGCAAAGCACCGCAAGTAGCAAATTGAAGATTTCCCCACATCTTCAGCAGTCGCTTGATTTCGCTAGTTTGGTTCTGATCGTGTGGGTGGAAATCGTGCTGGCCTGCCCTTGCTCCTCTTGAATCGCTTTGAACTTGCCCGGGATGAGACTTTGAATCGTTTGTCTTCGCCAGACAAGGTGTGGCAATGAATACAATACGAATAAACAGTTACAATAAAGCGATATTACCGCAGCGAAAAAGAGCAGAAATCCTTCTTATAAGGAATCTGGTTATACGCCTCTGAAAGCCAGTCGTGTGCCCTTCAGGCAAGCACACAGCCCGCAATAATTCCAACAATGGAACGGAAACAAAATTACTTTGGGGGAATTGGCAGCTCTTTCTGCTGGCCACGCTCCACCCCATTATTACTCGTAACAGGTATGCAGTCGGAGGGTCGATTTATGTGGGTCAACAGTGTGGGAAAATAGGGGGAGCGCGGATGCCACACGCGACCTGCCCCAACCCGGACCATGGGAACCGCGTAGGGGGCTCGAAGTTGATTGTCGTCACTCAGCTACTCGGCTAATTAGGCTCGATTAATGCGCCATATGTTTGTAGATCGTAGGCCCGCTACGAGTAGGAGCTGGCGCAATTGTGCCCCTAAAAGGCACGTCGAGAACAAGAGTAAAAAAATGTCAAAAAGGACCGCGTCGCCAAATACATTTAATATACTGCCCACGTAGCCATTGTTCTGCCGCTAGAGCCTTTGGGTACCCATCGCACTAATGGCAAATACGAATATTTTATCTTTGGGTTCTGTTCTGACTGCGTTCGCATTTTACTAGATTAGAATCGATGCACTATGAAAAGGCCCATGATTAGCCGAGAAGTCTGGGCAAATAAGAGGCTTAGGGCAAGGGCGGATCCCCATTCAATTCTCTATCCAACGATGCCAAAACGAATTCTGTGGCTCGAATGGTTCTTGAGAAACCTCGAAAAAAGCAGTCATGTTCGAGTGGATTTTGCAACTAAAAAAAAACAACGCAAATCTAAAACTTCTTGAATTCCAGCCTTCTTTGAGAAACCTGCCAACATTTCCTTATCGATGGTTCACTTGCTAAAAAGGCCATTTATTTCTCTCTAGAATGATGTACAAATGAGCGTTCCTGCTCATTTTGCCTCCGAGATATGAGCAAAAACGAGACGGAAAACATGCAATTTTGACATAATCTTGCACCTACGTGTCTGATATTCAAATTTCGCTTTCTCGGTCAAAACTACTCGAATTTCCTCATTAACGTTGTTACGACTGAATGGACTTTTCAATTCTCTATCCAACGATGCCAAAACGAATTATGTGGCTCGAATGGTTCTTGAGA